GGACCACTGGTGGTCCGTGAGGTCCAAAATGTTGGCGACCACTGACATAAATTGAGCTTTGAAAACATCATGCTGCCCTAACTGATTTGGCTCAGTGGACAGAGCGTCAGCCTGCAGACTGAAGGCTCCCACCTTCAATTCGAGTCAAGGGCACATGCCTGGGTTGCAGGCTCAATCCCCAGTAGGGGGCGTGCAGGAGCAGCCAATCAATGATTCTCATCACTGATGTTTCTATCTCTCTCCCCCTCTCCCTTCCTCTTTGAAATCAATAAAAATATCCTATATAATAGCCGAAACCGGTTTGGCTCCGTGGATAGAGTGTCGGCCTGCGGACTGAAAGGTCCCAGGTTCGATTCCGGTCAAGGGCATGTACCTGGGTTGCGGGCACATCCCCAGTGGGAGATGTGCAGGAGGCAGCTGATCGATGTTTCTCTCTCATCGATGTTTCTAACTCCCTTTCTCTCTGTAAAAAATCAATAAAATATATTAAAAAAATATATATCCTATATAATGAAGAGGTAATACGCAAATTGACCATCACTCCAATACACAAGATGGCCACCCCCTATGTGGACACAAGATGGCCAACAGGGGAGGGCAGTTGTGGGCAACCAGGCTGGCAAGAGAGGGTAGTTAGAGGTGACTGGGGGCCAGCAGGGGAGGGCAGCTGGGGGCAACCAGGCCTGCAGAGGAGGGCAGTTGGGGGTGACCAGGCCTGCAGGGGAGGACAGTTAGGGGCGACCAGGCCAGCACGGGAACAGTTAGGCATTGATCAGGCTGGCAGGGGAGTGGTTAGGGAATGATCAGGCTGGCAGGCAGAAGCGGTTAGGGCCAATCAGGCAGACAGGCAGGCGAGCAGTTGGGAGCCAGCACACCTGGACTGTGAGAAGGATGTTCAACTGCCTCATCCGACGGGCAGTCAGACATCCCTCGAGGGGTCCCAGATTGGAGAGGGTGCAGGGTGGGCTGAGGGACACACATCCCCCCACCGCCCGGCCATGAATTTTGTGCACCAGGCCTCTAGTATATTAAAAAGAAAAAGAGCCAAAACCGGTTTGGCTCAGTGGATAGAGCGTCAGCCTGCGGACTGAAAGGTCCCGGGTTCGATTCCGGTCAAGGGCATGTACCTGGGTTGCGGGCACATCTCCAGTGGGGGATGTGCAGGAGGCAGCTGATCGATGTTTCTCTCTCATCGATGTTTCTGATTCTCTATCCCTCTCCCTTCCTCTCTGTAAGAAATCAATAAAATATATTTTAAAAAAATAATAAAAAAGAAAAAACATCATGCTAAGTGAAGGAAGCCAGACACAAAAGGCCACATATTGACTGATTCCATTTATATGAAATGTCCAGCATAGGCAAATCCATTGAAACAGAAAGTAGATTAATGATTGTGTAGGGCTGAGTTGATAGGAAGAATGAGGAATGACTGCTAATGAATATGATCATTGTTCTGATATTAACTGTAATGATAGTTGTATAACTGTGAATATACTAAAAATCATTGAATTATACATTTTAAATAGATACTGTATGGCATGTGAGTTATATTTCAATAAAGCTATTGTTTATTTAAAAAAAACACCAAAAAACATGAAAGACTCCATAAACAATTTCCTCTTCATAGAAAAAAGATACAAAAATTTTCCCTCTCTAGTTCACAACAATGTAAATTTAAATATCTACCCTTGCTAATGTGGAGACACTACAGGAAATTCTTTAGGGAGATTAGTGAAGTTATTGTCTATGAAGTTCAAAGCCCAACCATTTCTATGTGTTTTTTTTTGCAGTTCAGAATGACACAGGCCATATTTAGAAATGCACTCCGGAAAAAATGCTTTGAAGACTTTTAGTCTCAACATTCATAAATTAAAAATACCTACCCAGGCAAGAAAGAATGCCTGAAAGAGTCAGTGCTCTCTCTTCTTAGGACTGTCTTTTTTTTGCTCCTCTTCTATGTTGCCACATTAAAAGAAAGATATGAAAAGATAGTAGTTCTCCTAGCACTCCTCCTTAGTTGCTTCTGAGCCACACATCCCCTCTGACAGACCTGAAGGGCTGGGTGGTTTCTCAGAGCTCTAAACTGTGCCCTCTCTGTTTCAACATATTCTCCCTGGGCAGGGTTCCCTAATCCACCTCTCTAAGCCAGATCTTTCTCCTGTGCTCCAGATCCCAAATATCCAGATCCCTACAAAACAGGTCTCCATGTCAAATGTCCAAACCAACTCTCCCCAGTCTTTCAGTGGCAGCACCACTTACCTACCTAACAAGCCAGAAACCTGGAAGTTATCCTCTATATCTCGTTCACCTTTACATCCAGTTAATCATCCTATCTAATAAAAGAGAAACATGGTAATTGGCGTACGACCGTTACCCTTCCCATTGGCTAATCAGGGCGATATGCAAATTAACTGCCAGCCAAGATGGCGGCCAGCAGCCAGGCAGCTTGAAACTAACATGAGGCTTGCTTGCTTCAGTGATGGAGGACTCCAACGTTCCCCACCTGCCTTGCCGGCTTCTGAGCCTGCAGTTTAAGAGACATAGTAACAAATATAGAAGCTAAACAAAACCCCAGAAACCTGCTTTCAGCAAGCCGGGATCTCAGAGCTAGAGTTGATACAGAGTTTCGATTATAGAACCTAAACAAACCAGATACCTACTTTCAGCAGCTGAGGCCTCAGAGCTAAAGCTGGCCCAGAATAAAAAAGAAAAAAGAAAAAAAGGAGCGGTTGGGAGCTTCAGTCCCAGCCTGAAAACAGCCCTCAGCCCCTCAGCCAGACTGGCCAGGCACCCCAGTGGGGACCCCCACCCTGAAGGGTGTGTGACCAGCTGCAAACAGCCATCATCCCCTCATCCAGGCTGGCCAGGTACCCCAGTGGGGACCCCCACCCTGATCCAGGACACGCTTCAGGGCAAACCAGCCAGCCCCCACCCATGCACCAGGCCTCTATTCTATACAGTAAAAGGGTAATATGCCTCCCACCACCGGGATCAGTGGAGCCGCGAGGCCTCCTGGCACTGGGATCAGCCTGACAGGGGGCAGCGCCCAAACCCCCTGATCACCCTGCGGCTGTGTGACAGGGTGCGGCGCCCCAACCCCCCCACCCCACAGGCCCTACTCTGTGTGTGGCGGGGTAGAGCCATAACCTCCCCATCGGCCCTGCCCTGAGTGTGAGAGTGGCGGCACCCCAACCCCCTGATCGGCCCTGCTCTGAGGGTGATAGAGGGCGGCACCCCAACCCCCTGATCTGCCCTGCTCTGTGCATGACAGGGGGAGCTCCCCAACCCCCTGATGGGCCCTGCTCTGTGCGTGACAGGGGGGAGCTCCCCAACTCCCTGATCGGCTCTGCTCTGTGCGTGACAGGGGGGAGCTCCCCAACCCCCTGATGGGCCCTGCTCTGTGCATGACAGGGGGTGGCGCCGCAACCTCCCCATCGACCCTGCCTTGAGTGTGACAGGGGGCGGTGCCCCAACCCCCCAATCGGCCCTACCCTGAGCGTGACTGAGGGTGGCATCGCAACCTCCCAATCCGCCCTGCTCTGTGCATGACAGGGGGCGGCACCCCAACTCCCCAATCGGCCTTGCTCTGAGCCCGATCAGGGGCTACACCTAGGGATTAGGCCTGCCCTCTGCCACGGGGGAGCAGGCCTAAGCCAGCAGGTCGTTATCTCCCGAGGGGTCCCAGACTGCGAGAGGGCACAGGCCGGGCTGAGGGACCCCCCCTCCCACCTCTAGTCCTATATAATAAAAGCCTAATATGCTAATGATATGCTAAAGCCGCTCAACAGCTCGCTATGATGTGCACTGACCACCAGGGGGCAGTCAATCGGTAGGTTAGCTTGGACTGAGCAAGACGGTCCAGACACGCCCTGCAGCCCTCCCGCGGTCCCTCCCTGGCTGGCCTACCTCTCATGTCTCTCCCCGGCCCTGATCATACAAGGGTGGGGTCCCTTGGCCTGGCCTGCACTCTCTGCAATCCAGGACCCCTCAGGGGATGTCGGAGAGCTGGTTTCAGCCTGATCCCGCAAGTCAGGCCAAGGGACCCCACTGGTGCATGAATTCGTGCACCGGGACTCTAGTTTAGTCATATCCTTCCTGCCTTAATATCTGTCAGATCTTTTCCCTTCTACCTTCACTGCCAATCCAAAGTTCAGACCATCTTCACCTCTTGCCTGAATTACAGAGAGCCTCCTGAGTGATTTCCCAAATACCTGGACTGCTCCCCTTTCTCCCCTTTGGTTGCTGTGTGGCTGTTCTAGAGTCAATTTAATCATGCCACCCTCCTATGTAAAATCCATATGGCTCTCCACTACACTTTGCAACTTTCTTACACCACCACTCCCAATCTCTGCCCAACACTGCCCAGTTCTTCTGTGCCATCTTCCCTCTCGCCATCTACACATTCAGTTCCCTCTGCCTGGAAAGCTCTCCTGGCTCTCACTCACTCCTCCTGGATATCTAAGTTAGACATCACCTCCTCTGGGAAGCCACCTTGACAAAGACTGAGTTAGGAGCAACTCTGTGTGCTCTCATAACACCCATTTTGAGGCCTGTCTTAGTATTATCTTTGCTGTACCACACCGTATCACAATTGCCAGTTTCCTTTGTGCTTCCCTGTCATTCAAGATATTTGAGAGTGCTAAGCACACTGTAAACATTCAACAGGTATTTGTTGAATGATTAGTTCATTCTTAGTATTATTTAATGGCTATGTCTATACAGCATTCACACAGTCAGCCTTGCCATTTACAGAGGCAGCAGTTAAATGCTGATATAAGGGTCTGCTTTATTAAAAAAAAATAAAACAGCTACTTTGTTCACACAAAGTACTCCTCAGCAAAATGAACCATTCATTAAATGTCTACAATGGAGCTTCAGATACATAGTCTCATTTTTAATGCTCACTAGAACTGAAAAACAGCTGACATTAACTACATGTGTACTAAGTGCCAGGCATTATGCTATGCACTGTATACTTGCTACCTAATTTAATGCTCACAATGACCCTGTGAGGTAGGTGAGGCATCTAAAGAGGTTAAGTGAATTCTTCAAGTTCTTGCCACTTGGATAAGGTAGTAGTCACCAACAGAGCTGGATTTGAGGCCTGGTTGTCTGCTACCAGAGGCTGAGTGCTCTATCACTGTACTATTCCACCTCTGTTAGTCAAACATCTAGCCAAAAAAATTCTGTTTCTCACTCTTAGATGGTTTAAATAAAGCTGTAGACTTCTTGGAACTGACATAACGTTGAGCTGGAGCAAGGAAAAGTTATCTCTCTATAGAAGATCATACCCATTGCATTGCTGATAATACCCAAATTCAACTGTCCGGTCAAGACCTCTCCCCCCACCAAGACTAGACTCATAAAACATCTCATGTGTTCAAACTTACCTAGTCATCCTTCCATCCCCTGCTCCTCCTGCTGTATTTACTGCCAATCTTGAGCCTAAACCTAAGGTATTATCCCTGTCGTGTTTCCTTACCTTTCTATCCCTTAAATTCAGTCCTGCTAATCTTGTTCACCACTGTTCACAGTTGAATCCTGTTTACCTGTTCTACAGGAACTACTCCATAAATGTTAGCTACTGTTATGTTACATCTTAAATGCTTCTCATCCTCTTTTATACCACACTGTTCAGATTCCAAGGAACTAACTAGCCCTCCAGAACAAGCATTTGAGGCTGAGAATGCCTTTTATGAGGACCAGAAGCCAAGCTGCCAGATGTCCAGGCCCCAGCTCTTTCAATGAAAGCACACAGAAGGTATATCTCAAAGCTGGCTGATAGACAAGAACAAAATCTCAGTAGCAAACTAAAAATGTATGAGAATGTCAGATACTGGAATTAGAAATAACAAATGGCTCTGATCCCAAGGAACCAAACATTCTATTTTATTCCATTTCACAAAAGTAGTAAGTCAGCATTCATTCCATTAGCACAGCAATTCTCAACAGTGGAGATGATTACACAGGCACTCATATGCCCAGGAGACATTTAGCAATGTCTGGAAACTTTTTTTTTTAATCCTCACCGGAGGATATGTTTATTGATTTTGGAGAGAGAGGAAGAGGAGGGGGAGAGGCGCATCAATGTGAAAGAGAAACATCAATCATTGTCTCCCACACGCACCCGCACTGGGGATTGAATCTGTAACCTAGGTATGTGCCCTGACCAGGAATCTAACTCACAACCTTTTGGTGTAGGGGGCAATACTACAACCAACTGAGCCACCCAGCGGGGGCTGAAAATATTTTTTGGTTGTCACAAGTGGGGGGGAGTGCTAGTGGGTAAGGCCAGAAATGCTGCCAAATATCCTACAATGCACAGTACAGCCCCCTGCCCATCAAAAGACAAAGAATTATCCGCCCAAAAGGTCAACAGTGCCGCTAATGAGCAACTGCTAAACAAATGCTTTGAGCTCCTTCTATATTCAAGTTACTTAATGTATAAAAAGTTACTTCTTTCTGGGAAGATGATACAAACTTCCCCATAAATTAAGCTTCAACAGGTCCCTAAGGCAGTATCACTGGAAAAGAGGTGGGAAAAAACTAAGTAAGTAGTTTAGAAAACAAATGCCACGAGTTTAGAGGAAGGAGAGCACCACAGAGGTTGAGATCCAGTCAGAGATCTGAGAGAGCAGATGGGGGCTCCCTAGTTCACTCTGAGCCTGCCAGTCAAGGCCTCCAAAATAACCAGAACCCACCTTTCCAGCCTTAGTCGTAACAGGTCTCTTCAATCCACCCTTTGCTCCTGCCACTGTTCACCCATGACAGCAGCTGGTCCGTAGAGTCACTACTCCCATCCCTACTGTTACCACTGAAAAACCCCTCACCTACTTCACAAAAGCTCTGCCCTCCAGCTGAGCAGCACCTGCTCCCTTCCCCCAAAGCCGAGGAGGATATATCGTCATATCAACCTAATGGTGTTGCTATGATTCCTACAGGAAGGAGATAGTGAAAAGACAAAGATGGAAAATGCTTTAAATGGCTCAGGCCCTAAGGCCTTGACCTCACCCACCTAAAATCAGAGCTTAGCAACAGCAGCCAGGAGCTGCCTCATTTCCTGTAGTTGCTCCATAAAAATAGGAAGTGGTGGAGGAAGTTCACAAAGCAGAAACAAAAGTAATCACTGTCACGCTTCCTGAACACAAATCACTGAACAGGGGAGGGTATCATTAAACCATCAAAACGGAAGGCAGGCATGGAGAGCCAAGGCCAGAGGAAAGGAAGTGACTTCTGGGTCCACCAGGTCCAGACTGTCTCCAAAGAAAAATATGTGCAAAACTGGACAATAGCCTATTATACAGAAACAGTTTCCAAGGAATTAAATTAATTAAGAGCATGTTAATTTAAAGAATGTGAAAACACCTGAAACATTAGTCCTATCAGTAAAAAATGTCAATGAAAAAGTTTTAAGGAGGCTAAGATTAAACTTTTTTTTTCCTTTTAGTCAAGAAGTAGCTACTAAAACTGCTGTTAAAACAAAATAAAGTTATTAAATAACTGATCAGTTGGCAAGATCAAAAGCCCAATGTTATCCTAAACTGAGCTACCAAAACTCAAGTATATAGAAAAAAACACTACTAAATAACAATTCTAATCATAGAATTCCAAAAAATTCTCATCAGAGCATAGTTAAAATAAAGGTGCTTCTACACCCGTTCCCAGCCAACCCGGTGAACCCTGCAAGTTGGCCTTAAGTGCATTAGCCACTCAGGATACAGAGGCTAACAGTGCCTGGTGGCAAGGAGCTTCTGGTCTGCCTCCACATGGTGACACCTGACTGCCTTTGGTGTTGACATGTGCTCTATAACTATTTGTCACTACAAAATATGACATTCCTCTACAAAACAAAGCAAGTTATCATTAGTGGATCTGAAGAGCTTTTATATTTGGTAATCTACAAACGAGTGATAATTCTATTTAAGAAGAAGAAAAAAATCCTAACAAGTCAACAGAGTTGAAATTCAGTTTCAAAATAATACAGATAAAAAAACAACAACAACAGGCCAAATGTGTTAAAACAGTCATATAGATGAAGGACAGTTTAATTTTGGGTATTTTGGTGGGAGTGAGGGTGGGGGTGGAGATGGGAGGGTGGAAAAAGAGGAAAATCAAAGGCTAGTTTAATTTTTAAAAGTCATTACATAAAAAAGTAGAAAAAGGGCGGGTGAGGTCATCACGAGGCGCCGCGGAGGGACGCGGGAAGAGCAGCTCTATGCCTCACATGGAGAAACTATTAGCATACTGGATGTCAGATCCCTCAAAGGTTCCCTGGACCATTTTCATGTGAATGAAGAAGAAATCAATTGCCTTTCATTGAATGAAACTGAAAACCTGCTGGCTTCTGCTGATGACTCTGGAGCAATCAAAATCCTAGACTTGGAAAATAAGAAAGTTAGCAGATCGCTGAGGAGACATTCCAACATCTGTTCTTCTGTGGCTTTTCGGCCTCAAAGGCCTCAGAGCCTGGTGTCATGTGGACTGGATATGCAGGTGATGCTGTGGAACCTTCAGAAAGCCCGGCCACTCTGGATTACAAATTTACAGGAGGATGAAACAGAAGAAATGGAGAGCCCACAGTCACCGGGTCAGCTTTTAAATCCTGCTCTCGCCCATTCTGTGTCTGTGGCATCGTGTGGCAATATTTTTAGTTGTGGTGCAGAAGATGGAAAGATTCGAATCTTCAGGGTAATGGGAGTCAAGTGTGAACAGGAATTGGGATTTAAGGGCCACACTTTGGGAGTATCCCAGGTCTGCTTTCTGCCAGAATCTTATTTGCTGCTTACTGGAGGGAATGATGGGAAGGTAATGATGTGGGATGTAAGCAGTGAAGTTGAGAAAAAACAGAAGAGTCCTACAAAACATACCCACAGGAAAAGCACTAAAAGGGCAACTTATACCAACCAGGGTGGAAACACTAATACTTCAGTAACACATGAAGAACAGGGCAAAATTTTACCAAAGCTAAGTATTGAACATGGAGAAAAAGTGAACTGGCTCTTGAGTACAAAAATAAAGGGTTGCCAAAGTATATTAGTAGCTGATCAAACTAGTTGTATATCTGTGTATCCCTTAAATGAATTTTCAATCCAATAAAAACATTTGAATAAGAAAAAAAAAAAAAAAAAAAAAAAGTAGAAAAATAGCCGAGACCGGTTTGGCTCAATGGATAGAGTGTCAGCCTGCAGACTGAAGGGTCCCAGGTTCGATTCCGGTCAAGGGCATGTACCTCGGTTGCGGGCACATCCCCAGGGGGAGATGTGCAGAAGGCAGCTGATCGATATATTTCTAACTATCTCCCTCCCTTCCTCTCTGTAAAAAATCAATAAAATATATTAAAAAAAAAGTAGAAAAATAAATGAAATGGAAGGTAATCACCATATCTTCAATGTCATACAAAGAAAAATAGTGAACATTTAATTTTTAAAAAATATATATATTTTTATTGATTTCAGAGAGGAAGGGAGAGGGAGAACCAGAAACATCAACCTAAGGCATGTGCCCAGACCGGGAATCGAACCCTGACTTCCTGATTCGTAGGTTGATGCTCAACCACTGAGCCATGCCAGCAGGGCGAACATTTAATTTTTTAAAGATCCATTATTACTTGGTCCTGCTGAGGACAGATGTAGCTATCTGACTTTCTGGTAATAAATTAACTTACTGTATTCTAAGACTTGTGTTTAGGCTTCTAATGAAGTCAAAAGACTAACTCTCAAAGCTTGTTGCCATTCAAACAAAACAAGTATTAGAACTTTTGAAAGAATTTTATTAGAGAAACACTCTGAGTTGTTAAGCAGAAATATTCAAAAGAAGGAAAAAAGGGGAATGGGGTGGGAGGGACAAAGCCTTGCCAAGAAAATACTTATTGCCCACATGTGCTGGCTCAGTGGTTGAGCGTGGATCTATGAACAAGGAGGTCGTGGTTTGGCTCAGTGGATACAGCGTTGGCCTGCGTACTGAAGGGTCTCAGGTTTGATTCCAGTCAAGGACACAGGCCCAGGTTGTGAGCTCCATCCCCAGTGGGGGGCGTGCAGGAGGCAGCCGATTAATGACTCTCTCTCACATTGATGTTTCTTTCTCTCCCTCTCCCTGCCTCTCTGAAATCAATAGAAAATATATTTAAGAAAAGAAAATACTTTTATATAAACAACTACCACAAACCACCAAGGGGTGAACAAAGTGGCCCATGTAAAATGAAGTTTTTATCTATAAACTAAAATGGCTTTGGACCATTAAAATAGTTCACATCAAATGCACCCAAGCATTATGAAAACATTCCCAAACAAAAACTGTGCTGCTTGATGGAAATTCAACTGTAAATTAAGGAGAATAACTACTTTAAAGTAAATAATTTTTTAAAATCACAAAGCACTGATGTAATTTAAAAAAAAAAATTTTGAGAGAGAACCATCGATGTGAGAGTAAAACATTGATGGGCTGCTTCCAGCAGGCCTCATACTGGGGAATCAAGCCCGAAACCCGGGCATGTGCTCTGACCAGGAAAAGATCCTGTAACCTCTTGATGCGTGGGATGATGCTCAACCAACTGAGCCACACCGGCCAGGACAGCACTGATGTAATTTTTCAAGCCCAATTTGTTAAAAAAAATTTCTGAGCCCTAGCTGATTTGGCTCAGTGGATAGAGTGTTGGCCCGCGGACTGAAGGGTCCCATGTTCGATTCCGGTCAAGGGCACATGACCGGGTTGTGGGCTTGATCCCCAGTGGGGGGCGTGCCGGGAGAAGCCAATCAATGATTCTCTCTCATCATTGATGTTTCTCTCTCTCCTTTTCCCTTCCTCTCTGAAATAAATAAAAATGTATTTAAAAAAAATTTTTCTGAGAAATCTACATCTATTAGAAACCTGGAATTTATTTCTGTTACAGTGTGTTACAGTATGAAAAGGCCTTGATCCACTCAGCTCTGTTTAAGCCTAGTTTTAGCCCAGTTATCCAAAATTTCCAAATTTGAAAAAAGCTGAGCTAGTGAAAACAAATGTATCCTTTAGAAAGTTTTTAAAGAAAACTTAAAATTCTATAGTGCTACTCATTCTTAAAAACTTTACTGTGGAAAGAACCTACCCAAAATTGACCTCAAATGGGAAAAACAAGTATTTATCAAGAAGCATATATACAAATGGGTAGATCAAACTTTAATTTGGAAATTCTTACTATGGAGAAGAATTATATAAATTTTAGATAAATACGCTTCAGATCCAGGACCATTTCTGAAAATGTAAGGCACCCATAAAAATTTTTACCGATGGCCCTCCTCCAGGCTGGGAACACTGACTCCAATTTTATACACCCAGCAAGCCTTCCATCTCTGAAAAGGAACAGCAAGCAGTCACAGTGAGGAGCCCACTCAGTAAATGGAAGCTTCCGCTCCTTTTTCTTCCATTAAGGCTGTTAAGTAAACTCCTCGGGAGCAAGAACTGTGTCTGTCTCATTCACCACTGAATCCTCAGTGCCTGGAGCAGTGCCACGCACATAGTAGGACTGCTCTCTAAGGCTGTCTTCCCTGCCCCTGGAAGGAGTGGAGAGACTTCTTTAATGTCCTCGTTGCTAAATATTTGACCTGCTGGAATGTTTGTGGGGAAGAATGGGCCTGGGGTGGGGATGCAGGGGAGGGCTAGAGGGGGTCGATGGGGGAAGAAAGGGGACATATGTAATACTTTCAACAATAAAGATTTTAGAAAAAGCAAAAAACAACTTTATGACCTTAGGCAAATTACTTGAACTCTTGTGCCTCAATTTCTTCAGTTCCGTGCTAAGGATTAAATCCATAAAGGACAGCACTTGGCATATCCTGAATCTCCCTCAGTAAATGGACGTTACTGCTCTGAAGAAGCCAGGAACTAGTCAGAGGGCAGCATTTTACCTTCTACTGAAATTCTTCATTCTGTCCTACCATTAGTAAAATAAATATAAATAAACTCCCCTCCCCACCAAACTACTGCACAGTTACAACTACTTTAAAACATATTACTTACCTTCCTTCACCTCTGGCCCCAACTCCCAAGGTCCTGGAAACGAACTAAAAGAGTATTGCCCTGTGTCCTCCAGAGGGAAAAAGAGGTCACTGCTCCTCCCATTTCCCTACCTATTACTCCCTCCTCTTTCGGCCCCAGGCTAGAAGAACATGGACAATGCTGAGGAATTACTGAAGCACAGGATGTGGTGTATGTACTCTCTAGGCAGAATGGGTAGGTCCCTATAGTGGTGAGAGGGACCCCTTTGGCTCTCCCTACATAGGTTACCACAGCTGCCAGCAAGTGCTCAGTCTGGGAGCCAAGCCAGCTTGCCTCTGCCTGTGTTCTCAGGCACACACATCCACCTCTGGGACCTGGGAGTGGGGTGGGAAAAGACTCAAGTATCCCCAAGTTCCCCAATCATAATTACCATCTCACTAGCACCTAATTCTCAAATAATTGTTAGTAGAAAAATTAGATTTTTTTCAGGTAATATTTAGCTTTAATTCCACACTAAAAGACTTTTCCATTACGATTTTTTACAACTACGAATTTTTTTTTAAATGAATGACAAGTCTGGACAAGACTGTACGTTCTTTTTAAAAAATATTTTTATTGATATCAGAGAGGAAGAGAGAGGGAGAGATAGAAACATCAATGATGAGAGAGAATCATTGATCAGCTGCCTCCTGCACACCCCCTACTGGGGGATCCAGCCCACAACCGGCCCGTATCCTTGACTGGAATCCAACCTGAGACCCTTTAGTCCGCAGGCCGACGCTCTGTCCACTGAGCCAAACCAGCTAGAGCTACAACTACAAATTTTAAAAAGCACCTATCAGACAGTGGCCCAGACACATGGAATACAGTCGAAATTATTTTAAAAAAGGGGGGGGGGCAATACCACCTAGAAATGAACCCTAGAAACTGACTCAGGAATATGGGGATCTGCATTCAGCATGCTCACTGGCAGCACTGTCTATAAGCATCAACCTGGAAGTAACCCACATGTCCTGCATTCAGGGAGTCATTAAATAAATTATACAGGAATACCTCATCCTCTTAAAGATCAAGGTAAGGCCACATTTCACAAGCCCGAGATGTTATCATTTAGTAATCATTATTTTACATACGCTAAAGGAAACCTCTGGCCTGCAATCGCATGGCACATTCCAATTTCAGTCTCCCTGAAGGCTCTTTCCTGTCTCACTCCTCCACCTGTCCATCTGGAACACACATCACCCTTAGAACAAGTCCCTTTGTGCCCTTTTCTCTCCTTTCACTTTTTCTAGAAGTTACTTTTTTTTTTTTTTAATATATTTTATTGATTTCTTACAGAGAGGAAGGGAGAGGGATAGAAACATTGATGAGAGAAACATCGACCAGCTGCCTCCTGCACACTCCCCACCGGGGATGTGCCCACAACCAAGGTACATGCCCTTGACCGGAATCGAACCTGGGACCCTTGAGTCTGCAGGCTGGCGCTCTATCCACTGAGCCAAACCGGTTAGGGCTAGAAGTTACTCTTATTTAAGATCCACTGTTTTCAATGAAACCAACTTGGGCCCCTTCAGTTCCCATGGAGCCTTTCCTGAGCTCCTGCAGCCTCCACTGCCATTGCTCCTTTTAGCTTTGTATGCTTTCCCCTTCCAGATGAATTGTAAACACACAGAGACTGAGGCTGGACCCATCTTCACATTCACTGCAGTGCACAGAGCAGGGCCACACCACCACCACCACCAACAGCAACAACAAAAACCCACATCTGTCAGGAACTGTTCTAAAAACTTCACAAATATAAACGCATTTAAGCCTCACTATAACCCCAGGAGGTAGATACTATTACCTCCCCATTTTCAGACAGGGTCAAATGAGGTAAAGAAAGATTGTAAGTTAGAGGTTAGTAACTAGTAAATGGCCGAGGCAGGACTCGAACCCAAGCAATCTGGATAAAGTACTTGCTCTTAACCTCTAGGTTACATTTTCTCTATAAATGATTGCTATCTACATAGCACTTAAAATTTTATTTTTATTAACTTTTAATTGAAATACAATACACATACAGAATGAAAAAAATTCTGTACACTATATAAGAGTACACAAGAAAAGCTAGGTCAGTCTAACAGCCTAGATTTCTGGGGCCTCC